CTACGCAAATTGCAAATGATCCATATATAAATGGATTTTTCAACGGTACTTCGTTTATTTAAAACAAACTCATCAGGAAAAAATAATTTCATTGCATTGTTTTAGACATGCTATATGTGGCAATTTCTTCCGATATCTCGTAGTTTTATTGATTCTTATTTTGAAATAATTTCGTTAACTTATTCTCTTGTGTTAACAATTATATATTTAGCGAAACGAATAATTTAACAATTTAATAAGATTTAATTTATTATTTAAGTACAGTACATTTAAAAGCTTTAACTTATAAGGATATCATGAAAAAATAATTTTCTTTGTTAAATTATTTTCTGTTTAATATTAAGAAAATATATATATGTAATGAACTAACTACAATTATACCAAATGCGGTATAAAATTAATTATACTGTATGTGTATGTCAAATAAAGTTTAAAGAAAAATTTTTATATGTAATTAATTTATTTCTATGGTGGAATACATTCTTCAGAAGAATATTCGTGTTGATGCTTTTTGACTTGATTTTTTTATTTCTTGTGAAACAAGCTATCTTTTCATTTTCTGAACAGCATAGATCCTTAAATTATCTACATATTCATCATTAATATTTTCTGCTTCTATCAGATGCATGGCGTTAATATTAAGAACTGTTTCTTGGCATAACGAATAAAGCTTTGTTACCATTTTTATCTTTATAATAACCAATCTTTAACAGTGGATCAAGTACTATATAATATATAATTCAAATATTTAAATATTTAAATATTAATTTTTTTTAATAATAATTACAAACGAAAAAGTTCATTGTGCATATTATTTAAATTAAATTTTCTGATCATGGTTAAGCAAAGTCATGACCCTATCCTGACGGGTTATATAAAATTAGGACTCGCGTCGAGTCTGGTTTGATGACACTAGGGATGTAACGTTCGGTCGTGGTCGGTAAATGGTCTCAACGGTCGGTCAAAGGCCTTTGACCGACCGACCAGTTAACTGACCGATTTTAACTGACCGGTTGACCGACCAGTTAATAATAATATAATTGAGCAGATTTGGCTTAATAGAAGTTTAATTTAGTCAAATATTTATAATTTTGATTCTTGCTTTAACAATTCTAGCATGGCATTTTTTAAAGCTACCTTGTCATTTTTATTTAATGGCGCAACATTATCGTGAACTTTAATATTTTTTTTTTAAAATTTCAAAAATTTAATTTATATATAATTAAAATAAAATGTTGATTTTGTTAATTTAATACAAAGTGATTTTACTATTTAAAACATGATTATTCAGTCTCGATTCAGTCGGTCAAAATCGGTCAGAATCAGTCAGTCTACCGGTTGGTCAGAAGCCTTTGACCGACCGATATCGGTCACAGTTTATGACCGTGACCATTAGCATCCCTAGATGACACGAATTGATTCGATCAGCTAGTCTTGAATAATTAAATGTGGATTCTTGTGAAGTGCTCAGCTCGACATTTGACGTCAACTTGTGTCATCCGTAATTTTATTGAGATTTACTTTTATGCAACTAAATATTACATTTATGTTCTGCTAATGAAACAAGTAAAATGTCAGTTATATATGTTAGAATACAGATTCATAAATACATATCTGATAAAAAAAGGTAATATAACATTGAAGTATAAACATTAGATAAAATCGATATATGGATTTTCAAATAGCTTAAGCAATTATCAAAAGGTTTTTCAATTCTCTTGATATTACAAAATTATAAGTACGGAACTGATCCTCCAATTTATTCCATTGTTTTACAATTCTATCTGCTTCATAATCTTATATTTCCACACATTCTTCACACTCTCTTGCTGTATTAACAAGAATTTCAACATTAACAACCTGATAATTCCAAAAAGCCTCAATCGATCTGATAATGCTACGAATTTCATCGATAATATTTTGAAAACTTCTGATAGCATCCAAGAAATTTTGGAGATTATTACTTCTTTCTCTTGCTTCTTCCGCTTGCTTTCCATGTTTTTTGACCTATAAGTTTCTATGGCGACAATACCTCCAAAAAAAACTGCCGCTAGAGGAAAAATAACTGCCAATACAGCTGTTAAAACAGAAGCCTCCAGAACACGTAGATTATTTCAGCTTTCTTTGCATTTCTTATATTCAGCACGCATAATGGCTCATTCATTTTGTTGTTCAAGATTTTCAGATTTTAGCTCATATTCACTATATATAATTTGTAATTTCTCAGAAATTTCATTATAACCTTCACTAATTTTTTCAACCACATTATAAATCCTCTTTGCATTATCTAGTAAGCGTTTTATAGTATTCAAAAACTTCATACTAATAATTCTTTTATCAATAAGATATTCTATATAATAAGAAACTTTTTCAGAATAATCAGTCATATGTAAATCAATTTCTGTACTTTTTTGAGTAACTTCAAAATTGTTTACCAATTTTAAGAGTTTCATTTACTTTAACTTGGAGAAACCTATCAGCTAAATAGAATTCTGGTCAAAAAAGGGCTTTTTGATAAAAGTTTAGAAAATCAATGATCACTGTCACTTCATTAGTGACTTTAGTTATCGATGAAATTTCAGGCTTTCTGAAGGTGGATTTGATTAGTAATTCCATAAGTGAGAATATTTTTAAAGAACTACAGTGCAGGACACACTTAAAGGCTGAAATCACGTGATTTGTCTCATTTTCAAAATTCCTAAAAATCACGTGACTGGTATAATTATATCACGTGATAAGCGAAATAGTACAGTGCAGGATACTTAAAGACTGAAATCACGTAATTTGTCCCATTTTTAAAATTCCTAAAAATCACATGACCAGTATAATTATATCATGTGATAAGCAAAATAGTAGTAAAATAAATTTAAATACTGTAATAATTGATTAAGTTTTTAAGTTTAACGTGTGATTGATAAATTTAATTAATTAAGTTTTTAAATTTAACGCATAATTGATAAATTTATTGATTTAATGCTACAAATTAAAAATTATTTTCCTATTTTATTACCCTTTCTCACAACTCTTTTTTTTTAATAAATACAGTTAAATCGTTTTGTGAAATCTGCCTATATGATTTAAACTATTTACATGCATATTTAGCTAACTTGCTCGTTAGTCTCTCATGATACAATTGCATGTATCTTCATGATTTTTGAGCATATTTTCTAATTGTAGTAATATTCACTGAATCAAGTGCTTATGAAACAGTTTCTTACAAGCCACTCCATGTGTAATTACAGTGATTCCTTGTATAACACTTGGCCGCATCTTAGTACATTTTGATGAAATTAAGTACGCAATGGAACTTCAGATAAAAAACACATAAATGGCCTGCATTCTCAATTACTTTTACAATGGCTGACTTTTATGCTATAAAATCTGGTTGAGATGCCATAATTTTTCTTGCGCAATAATCAACTCTTTGAGATTCTTTCTTTTTATACATTGAACACTCTAAACTTAGTCCCTTCTTCTATAAATCTCTTTCTTATAATATCCTTTTTATTCCTTTTGGTTTTTCTCATAAAGCAAGATCAGAATAATCTTCTGAAAACATTATTTGTTGAATTATTTCTTATCCATCCTTATTAATAAAAGAGGTTGACCTCATGATTGGCTGTTTTTTCCACAACCCAAATTCATTCTTGCTGCAATAAGAGCATCTTTGGCATATGGGGTCTTTGCAATAGAAAGGGAGGAAACTCAAAAAAAAATAAAAAATGAGTTAATAATAAATCTGAACAAATTATAGTATTTGGAACATTTTTGGCTTATAAACTAAAATTTTAATTATTTTGGAGTTTCCTCCCTTTCTATTGCAAAGGCCCATATCATCTCAACATACTCGAATGGATGTAGAAATGAATGACAGAAAAGTTCGAAACAAAGAAAGAAATTCTAAAGTAGAAATATCGTGAAATAATAGAAGTGAAATCTGAAAATGATTTTAAGAAAAAAGGTAAGAAAAAGAATACCAATGAAGAAGGGACTATATGGGGATTAGGTGAGAAAGTCGAGGAAGTAAAAGAATATATGGGAGGTCCAATTAAGATCAAAATTACTGCAGAAAAGGATTTTTATTCTAGTTTTCTTAAACTCTCAGGATGCGTATCAATTGATGTTTAAGTGAGATATTGATAGGACACTGATGGGATGCTGATGGGATATAGATAGGACAGATAGAACATTTGGGTTATAGTGTGAGATAAGTTCTGGGACAATAAATCTTTGGGACATCAAAAATGTATATCACTAGCTGAGGGTTATGTCAAGAAGTGGGGTGGTCAATGCCTAGGAAAGACTGGTCAAATAAATAGTTATGATGTGTATCTTTGGTCTTGTGAGAATGGTACACATCAATGAGAGTATCCATTAAAATATATCATGAAAAAATTTGAATGGTATCCATTATGTCATCACACTAGAGAAAGAAATTGCTGATATATTTTTGAGGATCTGCTAGGCAAAAAATTCTCATCATGCAGGCCAAATTTTTTGGATGAAATGCAACTCGATGGATATAATGAGAAATTGTGTCTTGCATTTGAATACCAGGGTCCTTAACACTATTATCACAATAACCTATATCATCAGAAGAATGAAAATTTAAAAATGCAAAAGATGCGTGATCAGAAGAAATGGAATATATGTAAAAAGCAAGATATATACCTTATCAAAATTCCCTATAGTGCTGATCTCCTGTTATATATCAGACATACTCTAATCGAGAAAGGATTCTTGAAAGAGATGAAGAATTAAAAGAGATTATTTTTAGTACATCATTAATAATACTTAGTTTGACATAAAAATAAAAAAACTTGAGCCAGTTGAAAGACTTGTATACCATATTAACGAGATCAAAGATGTTTAAAAATATAACTCTAATTCCAGTATTTCCCAATGACCTTTCACTTTACTAATCTCTGGTCATACTAATTCAGATAAAACTAATAAGATTCTTAATCTCATGCTCAGAAATAAGCTTTATTGAATATTTAATGGGAAGAAAGAAGGGACATGCTATATCAAGTATGATAATTTGTTACTCTTCAGCCACAATTTTAAGAAGCTGAAATATATGTATCTCAAATCAGCGTATCAGATAATTGCAAATAGTCCAAAGTCCTATCATGAAAATATTACATTCTAAGCTTTAAAGCCTAATAAAATCTCTAAGGTGAATTTATTTTCTTTAGACAGGGTTACAGTATCCATATTTGAAGATGTATGCGTTGACTTGAAAAAAGTGCAAGAGAAGATCATCCCTTATTTTGTTAAGGGCGTCACTACAATGTCAGTTCAATATATGTATTCCAGAGCTACTTTGATTGCCCAAAGATAATACAAAAAAATCTCACACATGTCTGCCTATTTAATAGGTTTTGCATTATAAACGAGCTAGTCAGAATTATGTGTCTATATACTAATGACTGGCGTAGTGTAATTAAGATTATTGATAAGACATTATGTGAGCAAAAATTCATTGTTTTCGATTTAACTATACCTCACGAGCATTCACACAGGATATGTTTTAGCTGTGACCAAATTCTCACTAATGAGAATTCAACTTCATAGATATTAGCTCTTTTTTCACCTTCAGCACTTGCATCTTCAGATCTTTGATTTTATAGCGTATTTTTTTATTAGTATTAATCCGCTCTCTATATTCTTTTTCTATGTCATGCATAAATTTCTCAAAAGTTCGTCTATTATAATCGAGCAGATGCTGAAATAGTACTTTAAGCTCATTTATAACTTGGCAATTATTCTCTTCTTCATGATCATGCTTTAGTACTTTCAGTTGAGTAGTATTATTAGTTTTGATTCCAATGTCTGTAACATATATAACCAGTATTGCTGAGAATATATTGCATTCTAGTCAGCTTCAAGGACGCAATATTTTTTCCTGAGTCATAATTTTGCATTTTCTATTTAATGAGTTCTTATAAACCTCTAACATGTGTCTCAAATAGGATTCAATTCGTTCAGACTTCTCAAAAATAGATCCTAATAGAACAGGGTCTTTAGAATGATACAAGAGTCTTTGGTATGCTCTTTTAACAAGACTTTTAGGTAGTCTATCGATAATATATTTATAGTCAAAATAGAACATTTTATTAGATATAGTTTTGCGCAAAAAAGTTTGCATAGAAGAAATTTACCTCCGGCATAGAACATAGCATTAAAAATAAATTTACGCATCAATATTGCGAGAGATCTGCTAGTAATACAACTTTGATCATTATAAGTTCTAATACCAATTATTTTTATCAGCCAGCATTAATATAAGATTACGTTTTGCGATTGCTTATCTTCTAATTTCACAGCCTTAAGCTTAATATTCTCAGACATTCTTAGCCTCAAGTTTGACAATATATTATTTTAATGAATCGGCTAATCTGGAATCTATCTATTTCAGATTGCATGCTTGTGTGACCACATCTGACAATTGCACAGGAATTTCAGCCGATTGTAAATGAAAATATCTATGAATGTTTGCTTTATCTTTAATAAGTACATTCAGATGCAACATATTTCCAGCTACTTGCACTTCAATTATTCCAAATTGATCTTTTTTTAGTTTAAGGACTTTGCGAATCCAAAACATTTCATCGTTACTTTCTCTCTATAGCTTTATCTCATCATCTATTTTTTTTGTTAACTACAGTTATAGATGAGAGACGAAACCCTTAATAACAGTCAAAACTTAGACGAAACTATATTAAAATCATAATAAGGGATACGACAAA